CACCATCGGCGGCGGCCCCCCAAAATACACCCGCTGTTCCTGCCGAGCGAGAGCTGTACTTCGCCTGCCTCGGCCCGACCTGAAGCTCGCCCGCCGCGCACGCGGCAGCGCGGCGCAGCGACGCAGACCCCGCAGGTGTGGCACTACACGGCGGGTCGTCGGCGGGCACGAAAGTCCTTCCAAAGCAGCGACGTCCGAAACCTCGTTTCCCCGTGTTGCATCCGTTTTACGGGAACCTGTTACATAATCGGCTCTGGACAGGTTCCGTCGCCCCGCCCCGCCCCGCCCCGCAGTCAGCCGATGTGGTCCAATAGCCTGCTGCCCCACTGCCGAGCGGCCAGGCTCCGCCACGCCCCGCCACGCCCCGCCCCACCTCGCCCCATTCCACCCGTCTTCATGATACAATTATTATCTGACTCCACCAAACTGACTTGCCGGCCGGCTGGTAAGGGTTGGATAGGGCACACAATTATTACTATGGCGAAAAAGAAAAAAAAAGAAAAGAAAAAAAACACACACACACACACACACACGAAAAAGGAAAGCGTGCACTTGCATGGAAAAAGTCCGACAATTATAACATACCAGGTGGCTGATTCACGCCGCGCACTTTCGTAGTTATACTGTACCGCATGCACGCGTGCGGGCGGGTTGCCTACTCGCACGGGGCCATAAGGAGCAGAGGCTAGAGAGCATAGGCAAACCCGCCCGTACGCGTGCATGCGCCACAGTATAACTATGACAGTGCGCGGTGCGCGGCGTGAATCAGCCACCTGGTATATGTTACAAAACTTCATCATCATCTGTGGGATTTTCTTCGGAAACTTGTTTTACAGTGTGACATTGCATCATTGCATTTAGTCATGGAACCTAACTTCGGACTAGCGCCCTAATGTCGGACACTACTAATAAAGCCCCTAAATCGAATATGGGTTTCCGGAATACAGCTTTCGAGGGTTCGCTGGAAAGGTTAGACCTTAATCTAGATTTGAAGAAATATTTCCGATATCTTACACATACTGTTCTCTCTCTAAAAAAAATAAATGCGAAACTTGCGTTTTGGGGCGCCACGATAACGGACAATTGTTATACTGCTTTACCTTTTTTTACTCGCTATTGCGAGAATGTGAGGCTCTCAACGGGCGAGAATGTGAGGCTTTCAGTTTGACATATGTGAAACAAGGACTCTACACCTTTATACAAGATAGCACAAGAAAATTTTGTTTATGTCACTTGTGTCAAGTAAGAGAAGGGATTTCCAAAGTCTCCTGAATATACGGACATGGGCTTTTACATGCAAAAGTGACTGTAGTCCGGATTTATGCACTTTAAAAGTGATCGTTAAGCAGTTCTAGCACCTACTATACCAGATAAGAAAATTTCGACGGTAGGGAAAGGTTAAATTTATGAAGTTTCTTTTTCCCCCAACATTTTTCTCTTTTCATAATTTTTGAAAGCTGTCCGTATGAGTAAGTTTCCCGATAAGAGGAACAAAAAGAGGGTAGCGCTGAGGAGGTGGCGTGGCGTAGCGCCGTCCCTAAACAAAGCAGTACGCGGGCGTTCAGACCATACTGTGTTTTGTCGCAAGTGGATGCATCCACATGTGTGATCATAAATCAAGTTTTGTTGAATTTCTAAAGAAAAATTGGGTCTATACTAGACCAGCGTAACAATCTTGAGTCAAAAAGTGCTTCTGTTAAGTTTGGCTTCGGAAAAGTAAGTTTATACAATCTTCTAAACCGTCCCGGTGTCGTTGTTTAGGTTAGTGTACGAGGACATATTGCATTGGTACAATTTTAACTCAATGATTATGACTCAACTGTCGTAAAAAGCTTTTGTATAGGTGGTACCAAGGTGCTGGGTGCATAGGCCCCTTCTAATTTGTTTGAAATCTAACGACACGCATCCTAACCTCTGCTAGACTGTCGCTCATCTTCTGCTTTGTTTAGGGACGGCGCTACGCCACGCCACCTCCTCAGTGCTGCCTTCTTCTTGTTCCTCTTATCGGGCAACTTCCTCATATAGGGCACTTTGGTTCCTAAATACGGACACTCTTCTAGCGGGCCTCACATGTACACCGTGAGTAACAAAAAGAAGGGTTCAAGGTGGTGGTAGGTATGGCCCGAAGATTTTATAGTCCCCACCGTTTTTCAATATTATCAAAACTACGGATTTAGGAGCAATGATGTGTGTGGTACTAGACTTGGGTTTGGGTGGCGCATTCTTACCTATACTTCGTATATAGTAGTCACACTCAGACCATGAATTTACGCAGACATTCAGATCACTAGTAGCTTGCACGAGCTCTCTGCCCCCCGCCACATCCAGCGCGCGCGATCGGGTTCACCCTACCAGCAGGTAGGGAAGCACGGCGCCGTGGACTTGTCCGGGTAGGCACCGCGACGGCACGGCTGCGCGCTGTCCGGGGGCGTTGCCTACCTGGCAGGCGCTCGGCCCGGGAGCTGCTGCGGGACCGGCGGGCTGGGGTGGGGGCGCAGAGTGCTCGCGGGGAGGGGAGAGGCCAGAGGAGTAGAGCGGTGACAGCACAAATGCCCCCCCCCCCGGAAAAGTGGGTGCTGTCAATGTTCACGCAGAAGTAACATCTGCAATGTTTGTAGTACTGCACCTCCCCCCTCTCTCTCTCTCCAAGCGGCGGGCGGGCGGTGGCGCTGCAGTGTAGTCGGCGGTTTGGACTCCGGCACGAGCGTGGGGTAACGCGTCGCCGGCGAGGATGTCGTCGCGGGAGTGTCTCACCCTCGGCGTGTTGCAACGGAGGGGTAACCCGGAGGACCGCACGCCGCACGAGTTGTGGACCGGCATGACTCAGCACCTTGCGGGGCGGGACCGGCGGCAGGGTCCAGAGTCATCAATATGCCCCAGTGCCCCAGCGCCAACGTCCTCCACCACCGACCGCCACCGCCCCCCCCTCCTAGAGTCGTTTCCCCCTCGGGTCCAGCAGGCTGCGGCCCGCCGTCTCTCTCGCACGCCCGCGCGCGGACCGCGGGGCCCTCCACTTCCGGGG